ACGACGACGACGACGACGACGACGACGACGACGACGACGACGACGACGACGACGACGACGACGACGACGACGACGACGACGACGACGACGACGACGACGACGACGACGACGACGACGACGACGACGACGACGACGACGACGACGACGACGACGACGACGACGACGACGACGACGACGACGACGACGACGACGACGACGACGACGACGACGACGACGACGACGACGACGACGACGACGACGACGACGACGACGACGACGACGACGACGACGACGACGACGACGACGACGACGACGACGACGACGACGACGACGACGACGACGACGACGACGACGACGACGACGACGACGACGACGACGACGACGACGACGACGACGACGACGACGACGACGACGACGACGACGACGACGACGACGACGACAGAATCTAGATCCAGAAGAGAGTAACGAAATCGAAAGATCATGTTCGAGTCAACCTTTTGACGTTTTCAAACTCGTCGATGGTAGTCGAGGAACGACGAATGACTCACGTTGCCCTAGGTCGCGTAAAGATCTTTCAAGCCGCGTTTCGTCGCATTGTACGGAAGGAAGTTTATTGCTCGAACCAACTTCCTGCTGTTTTCGCGTACGAGGAAGGGGATAGCGCGATACGGACGCGTCTCGAGGGACACTGTGTGGAAGAGCGATTAAGAGGGAAAATGCAAGTACGCGAGCGTGTACGCGAAGATTACGAGCGTTATGCGAGAAAGCCCCCGGCGAATTAAGCGACGATAATAACGTTCGATTACGTTCTACGTAAGCGCAATCATGAAAATCAGAGTTCCGGCCGAACGTGTTCGGAGGCCGCCGAAGCTGAGGAGCCTCGAGTTGAGTCGAGGTCGACGTCCGGACGCAACAAGTGCTGCTGCGACTCTCGTTGCGCCCGCGATCCTCTTCGATATCGTACCGAGTTTTTCGACGATACCGATTCTCCTTGAAACCATCGAAACATCTACGATCTGTTCCTCTCACAACTCGAACCTAAACGCTCGCCAAGATCAAAAGTACCGATTCACGGTCGTCCGTGACTTTGTCGCTTCCTTGCGATATCCATGACCAGAGATCCTTCACCGAGATTTCCACATTCCGTTCGAATCTCGTGATAACCAGACGTGAACCGGAAGTCAAAGGGCCTCGGCGAGGTTACGCAGCGACGCACCGTGCAAAATTTTCGGTCTAGAAGACGGTCAATCCGGCGCGGAGCCTCGAGTTGAGTCCGAGGTCGACGCCCGGGCGCAACAAGTGCTGCATTACGTACGTATACGCTGTTACACCCCACTCCACTTACTCATACAGCCCAACGACCAACCTCTCTCCACCCCCTTGTGGAAGAAGCCCTCTCCCTCTCGTTCTCTCTCTTTCCGCCTTTCCGTGTGTGCCGAGGCTTTCCACACGATGTCGTGCGCGCGAGAGAGCATCGCCGAGCACACCAGAGAGCCCTACACACCGACACATCGCTCTCGGCGCACTCGGGACCGAGAGATGCGAACGAACGCCGGAGAAAGAACGAAAGAGAAAGACGGTGAATGCCGCGGCGAGTGACGGCAGCGG